CCCCAAAACCCCAAAACCCCAAAACCCCATAAATATCAGGCACAATTGAAGCATTAAAGAGTAGATTACGGTTTAAATATTTTTAAAGGAGTTATGCAAGGAAGAGGTAGGATTAATTAATTTTAGAGAATTCACATTTTTGAAGTTTAGAGGCAGATTTGGGTCGTTTTGATGTATTTTAAGAGGTTGGAATCTGTATTTGAGGGTAGGGGAGAGGAGTTTGGTGGGAGTGTAATTGAGGGGGTTATGTGAAGGCTCTAGAGGGTTCTAAAGGGGTTTTAGTTATTATTGATGGTTTTTATTGAGCAATATCGAGATGAAATTAAGAATTCACTTAAGAACTTTGTTTTAAGATGTTCTTAAGGCTCAAACATCAAGTTTCAAAAATCAAAAGAAGAGGAAAAATTTATTGACTAAACTAATCTTCAAAATTTCAAGAAAGAAATGATAGGAAATTGTTCACTCTGCACAAAAGATATAGAACACCATGATGTCTTCGCCATCGACACATGTGGTACCTTGGTTCACCAGATCTGTATCTCCAAATACATTAAAAATAAGATCGACCAGGAAGAAGTTCCTATTTTCTGTCCAAATGAAGGATGCAAATGTGAAATATCTATTGAAGATATCAACCAACTTTGAAATGAGACTTATATCAGAAAATTCTTCATGATGGATCCAAACTATACCCTTACTTTAAAGAAGTGTCCTGATGCAGGTTGTAATTACATTCTTAGCCCAGCTGAAGTAGACCAAGAAGGGTACTTCAAATGTCCAGAGTGTTTACAAGAGTATTGATTCTCATGTAGCACTGCTTGGCATAAAGGTAAATCTAAGTCTTTAAAATCTTAACCTTATCTATAGGAATAACTTGTTGGCAAAATACCCAAATGGAAAAGCTGGTAAGATTCTGAACAGGGGAATTTCCAATATCCTGACACATTTTAGCTCTCAAGAAGTAAGAACAAGCCTAAAGGGCCTAAAAATAATCTACAAAACAAGAAAAGGAAGTGTCCAGGTTGCTCTAAACTTCTGTTGAAAGAGCCTGGCTGCAACATAATGACTTGCTGCTGCTCTACCAGATTATGTTACCTCTGTGGAGTAGAGCTAAACATTGAGAACAAATGCGAATGTCCATCGATGCATGCTTTATTTCATCCAAAAATCTTCCCTTCTAAATCAGTAGTGAAGACGAAGGAGTTTAAAATGGAACTGCCTGATATCCAGAACCGAAGTGAAGCTACATATGTCGTCAAATCCCACCCAAAATATAGAAAGAGCTACATCGGATTTCTCTCAGCAAAGCAAGGAGCAAGAAGATATTAAGAATTGTATTTCCATTAGCTTTGTTGGTGTCAGAAAAGTGTTCGAATTCAACTAAAATTTATCAAATCGGGGTTTTGGGGTTTTGGGGTTTTGGGG